CCGGAACCGCCGGCCGGACGGTTCAACAGGTTTTCAAAAAATTTTTTAAAAATAGTTCGGCTCAAAAAAAAAAAAAAAAAAATACCTTGTCGGAGAAGAATCCTTTGCCGAGGCCGTAGAATTTTTTCGACATTTTTTCGGATTTTTTTTGATGCTCGAATCGTTCGTTGAAGTTCGGAAAATTTAGAGAGATAAAGTTTAGAGAGATGAAATCCAAAAAAAGGTTAAGGGCAAAAGAGTAATTGGGGGGGGGGGCGGTGACAAGTAAAAGGGGGGCGGTGAATAGCAGTTGAGAAATTTTAGGGTAAACAAAAAAAAGATCAAAACGGCGTCGTTTAGGAAAGAGGCGACGTGGCCTCACCATGTTTTAAGAGACACGAGTCAACAGGAACTTCCTTTTTATAGATAAGACAATTGTATATATATATATATATATAGAGGAAGGATCATATGAGAACGACTCTTAATGCGAGAAATGAGAATGACCCTGGATCAATCAAACCAATGGACATGATCAGATCAAAATTTAATAAATAATAGTTAAATATGAATGGCAGTATGGTAAATAAGTATATAACTCGTGGTCAAATATTTGCTTTTGACCACTCAATAGGGTCAAACTAGTCATTACACACACATTAAATAATAAACCATTATTAGTGGGCCTCACCAATAACTCTTCCACTCCCATCTCTCACACACACAAATACCCACACAAAAAATCTGATTTTTTCAACGCACGCGCACACAGTTCTCACACACACACACACACACGCACAGACGGCGGCACCCCAGCCCACTGCCACCGCCCGTTGCCTCCGACCTCACCTTGCGCCGCCCCGCCATCGCCCGATCCCGCACCCCCCGCCGGTCGCCGTCCGTACGCCACCCGCTTCCGTCGCCTTCCGTCGACCACCTGCCGTTCACCACAAAACCACTCGCCGCCGAACAAGAGATGCTACCAACGATGACGACATGGCCGCCGATGAACGCCTGTTGCAGCGGCGTGCTCCCGCTGGAGCCATGGTCGCCGGCGAGCTCGGCCATCCGGGTGGTCGATGATGGTGGTGTTGTGACGGCGACGGGCGAAGGTCCACCGGTGGCCGCAGGATGATGTGCTCGTCGGGAGATCATGAACGGGCCTGAAATTCGACAGATTTCAAATTTATATATAGGGGCTTGTTTTTGTGAATTTGATAAGTGTTAGGGGTCTAGATGCAATTTTTTTTTGTTCTTTTAATATTTCCATTTTTTTTTTTTTCTGTTCTTTTCTGGATGGGACATTGATGTATTGGGTATAAGCCAGAAGCATGTGATATTCTCAGTTCTCAGTTAATACCTAATAGTTTAGTATCCGAGCAGATTTCATTTGGCAAATGACATTGATGAAAGTAGCAATCACAATGTACACTTCATATTTTAATATTTCCATTGAATTTTTTTATATTTTTGTACGTTTATGGCTATAATTTGATTATATTTTACATAAAAATATATATTAATAAAATGAATATTATTTTTTATATAGTTCATTTATCTAAGTAAAACAATAAAAATCTGATATCAAATTGACATAATTGAGTTTTTAAATGTAAAATATTGACAGTTGAATTGAAATTTAAATTCTCGATATGAAAATTTTAGTTTGGTCGAGGTCGTTCGATGTTGTGAAATTAATAGTCACTAAAGTGCACTCTAATAACCACAAATGTGCAATTTGTATAACCCTAAAGTGCACTTGTCATACATACAAATATATAGAAATAATAATAATATTTCTCATATAAGTCCGTCGTTTCGGTCATATTGTTCGGCATGTTCGGTTATTTTGTTTATTTAAAAAAAAAACGTATTGATGTATAAGGTGCAACACGTCGTGTTATAAGGTGCAACGTATTGATATATAAAGTGCAGCATATTGATATATAGTGCAATACTAAAATTTTGGTACGTTAGCATGTTTCTGTTTTTTGTGGATAAATGATGTGATGGATATCAAAATATTATGTAGATTCGTTTTTTTATATTTATATCGCGTAATTTTTTTGTGGGAGCTGTTAATATTAAGTGTGGAGTGTGGTAATAAGGTGCAACGTGCTGTTTTATAAGGTGCAATGTGTTATTTTATAAAGTGCATCAAAATATTTTATAAAGTGCGACATTCTCCTATATAAAGTGCACTAGCTAAATTAAAATTTCACAATATTATGTGTGTAATTGTATATCGAAATAACCTAAATAACTAATATAGCTTTTTATTTATAATTACAAAATATTTTTATATTAATTTAATATCTTATATTATTTTTTTTAATAATATTTTTTATTATTTCAAAATATTTTTATATTACTTTAATATCTTATAGTATTTTTATTTAATAATATATTTATTATTTAATATATATGTACAACAAAATATTCAAATGCTTTGTACAAGTCTTGTTCCATTTCTATCCCCGTCAGCCTGAATATATTTAAGAAAAAAAAAATCTAAGCATGAAAAAGAAATGGCTACGCATAGAGAGAATGAATAAGGTAGAAAGTGTATAAATATATATATATATATATATATATTAAATTTCAATAATTACAGATTTAACCTATTGGTTAAATTGAAATATAATTAAAATTGTTAAAATTGCACATAGGTCCCTAGACATAATCTAATTCTCAAAAAGAAGCCCAACTCCCACATTCCAGATTCA